AACTTCTAAAACTTGGTAAGCAACATAAACATTATGATAGGTATGTAATAGATGAAATGGTTAAGCAGCAAAAAAACATAATATTGAATTAATCTAGGTTGACGTTAAACAATACGTGGCAGATAAAAATTCTGGAGACATAAAAATTCTTTTTGAAGAAGTAATATTATTAATTTCTCCAGAAAAATGGAAAGAGTGTATCGACCATGTTCGCCAAAAAGTTGAAGTAAAAATGTGGGAGTTGGATAATATTATAGAGGTTCAGGTAGAACCACTTGTAATTTTGATTAATGAAGATAGCCCTTCAAGTCTAACTAATTTATCCGATTCAGAATAGTGCTAAGTCAAGTAAGGAAGATTGCTATAATACAGGGTATAAGGTGTCTAATCTAAATACTAGTAGAACAAGAACAATAAAGAACAAAAGTTGTCAAAAATACAAAAGGTTTCTTTTTAAAATGCACAATTTTAAATCAAATACCAAATACCTGTTATATTTAAAGTTTTTTTAATGCTTTTAGTAGATATATATTAGCTATTAAAGAATTTGTAATTATTTGGACACCCTGTACAATATAATTTTATAATATGGTTGTTTTAATGCTCTGTATCACAGTAGACATATATAATGAACTAAATATAATGCAAACATCTTTTAAAGTCAAATACATTTATTAATTTGTATTGCAGGTTAACGCAGTTTATGTCGCTCACTTATCTTCGTCCAGAAATGTCACTAAAGTCTGGGAGACCGTGTATGGCATTTATTTTATAGTTTTGGTTTACAAAATATGTTTTTATCGTAATAAAAAAATAATTTCACAATTACACTCTTTTATTTTACATTTTTGCAAGACGGAAAAGTAAAATACGGCCCTGCTCAATTTTAGCGTCCATTTTCTGCTTCTGTTTACATCAGGCGTAAATTAAATTTAAATAGACTTTAAATACAAATAACTGCTACATGGTGGGTGTATATACAAAATTAAAATAAATTTTTTCCTGAACAGTCACTGACAGTTTTTTAATTCTTTCATACAATTTCACCTTTGCTGTATAATACGAAATATTCAGTCTTCAAAAGGGTAGAGTCCCCAGTTAAGAAGTCCTGAGTTGCGAATGAACTAACTTGAAGTTCTGATTTGAGGATCCTTTTTTAATTGGAAGGTTAAAAGTGCTTGGAATAGACATGAAAATTTTCTGCACGGTTACAGGCCACTGATATGATATAGATATTATATTTATTTCATGCCAACTCTACTAACTCTACGCATGACGTCACCGCCGCCATGACACCATGCACGAAATTCCCCCTGGTGGTTCTATATATCGAGCTCCCCTGTGGTGGAGGGTAAAGTAGGGGTGAGATGAAGTTAGGTAGTCATTTCAGGCCCGGCTTTTAGTTTTTTTTTATCCATTACCATTTAGGCGTGTCAAAGGAAGAGGGGGAGAAGTTGGACGAGTGGAAGAAAGTATTTTTTTTTAGTTTCTCGTGAACCTCTATCCGTTTATAATATTTTCTATGTCGGTTCAAAATTAAAGGGTGCTCATATTCGCTATAGATTAATTTCATTGGTCAATCATAACTCATTTTAAACAATGGATTTCATATATCGAAGGTTGGAAAAAAATATTATAAAACTAAAAAAAAAAGAAAATCAGTTCACAAACAGAAGAAGAAAATGGTACTGAACTATTTTGTTTTTGCCTATTGTGGCTCTGTAAGAACAGAGACTGAACTTTTTCCTATTTATATATTTTTTCTTTCAATAAAAATAAACATTACAAGTGATGTACCTACTACCACCAGAAGTTTACTTGGCTATAGGTATTTCGTACTAGTTAGATAAAGTAAATTATCCATTTATACAGTGGGTCATAAAAGGAATCATGAAATTAATAAAACCCCTGTAATACAATTGGTAAAATGGCAAAAACACATCAATTTGTGAGTATTTATTTATTTCTTGTTATATTTCATAGGCCTGTGACGCTATTTATATTTTTTTTACACCCACTTGAATATTTTTTATTCTACGCACAGATTACAGAACGAAATAGTAGGGAATTTGCTGAACGAATATAATATTCATATCGATCCTAGTAAAAACACTTTATGGATATGAAATTCACTTATCAAAGTTTATATTTGGCCACCACGTCGCTATTATTATTTTTCTACACCAAGACTAACAAAGTATGCCATTGCGTTCAATTTAACGAATATATTTCATATCCATTCTACCTAGTAAGAACACTGCAAAAAAATTATTAAATTTTATGTGACAATTCTGTCAAACTAATTGTCAGTATTATCATTTAGTTATTGAGATTGAATATGCGTTAAAATGAGTTAAAATGAGCATTTCCATTTTTATTTCGTCCACATTTACAAATAATTCTTAAATATTAATCAAACTATATAAAAATAATTTAATTACGAGTAGTTAAACTAAAATCTTAAGTGTGGCGATGTACGTGAGGACAAGACGTTTGTCTTCCACGTGAGAGGCCCGGGTTCAAATCTGGGCTAGAGACTAATTTAATTAAATCTTTTTTCATATTTATTTTATTTTATAAATTATTAGAAACAATTTTTAAACGAAAAGTCAATGTTGCCTTTTTAAATTATCTGTATGCTTGAAATATACATTCATTCGTCTTCTTAAATGATCAAAACTATATTCCTAATGCAATGTTTGAATTCAATGTTGCGAAAGGGTGGAATCGCGTAGTCTTCTACCTATATCATGTGAAACTAAAATGTTGGTAAAGTAGAATTTGCCGCTTATATTATTTGAAATTTTAGTTCTTAATGTTCTTCGTTATTACATTGATTAGAGAATTGATTCCAATGTGATTTAATAAAGTATTTGTTTAACTTCTTGAAAAAATTATATTAACTTTTTGTATATACCAAAAGTCTTTCCATCGTCTATCCCTGATTTACTAAAAGTTATTTAAACAAAAAATGTCTTAGTGAGATGTAATACTTGTAATATAATATGAGAAGCATAAGGAAAGTGGGAGTTATTATTAAGGAAAGTAGTCAAAATAATATTACGTAATTTTCTTTATGGCAAACAACAAACTTTTGTAGAATTAGTCAAAATTAAAATATAATAGTATAATACGAGGACGTACCCAAAAAAAACCGAATTATGTTTGTACAAAATGTTTTCTTTATTTTTTTACAAAAAACCTTTAATCTCCTTTAAAGTTACTACACTACAATATTTTATTTCACTCTTCAAAACTTTTCATAAATTTTATCTTCTGTACTCTGTCGTTTATCTTAACCTAAGCAAGGTCCGAGAAACACTTTGCTTTCAAGTCCCTTTTCATTCAGTGGTACAAAAAGAAGTCTCAAGGGCGTAGATAGGTACAATGATCATTCCATGTGTAGTCAAATATCGACGCTCAGAGAGGGCTGTGTGAGCCGAAATATTGTCATGGTAGGAAAACCAGTCTCGGATTTCCATAAATCGAAGAACGCCCAGAATGAAACTGGTCATTAATTGATATTTCTTTACTTTTAAAACGAGAAAATCCACTCAAATACTTTGAATTATCCCCAAAGCATCATTCTTTTAGGCCGCTTTTAACATTACAATAGTTTTTGTGCCAATTTTTTCGAACAGGAAACAAAATTAACAAGCCAATGCTCGCTGGTAAAAGTTTTTGTCGGCAAAACCTAGTACTAAAAATACTCGGTCTCCGACATAATTGCGATTTATTTTGGATATCCCCTCGTATACAATTTATTTAGGTATTAATTTATTATGGTTGATACAGTCAAATGCTTAGCTCCTCATGTTGCTCCGATCATAAAAGATCTTAACAGGCCATTTGCTTGCAACAATCGGTATGAAAACCATGCTGATTTGATGAGTATCCTATTAAATTCTAGATAAGTATTTATTCGTTTTAAGTAGCAGTATCCGATAATTTTAAATAGAAAAAACAGTTGGGGGTGATAAATCTTTCCCTTGCAAACCAAGCTATAAAGATCTTTTTTGATATTCAGCCAGTACTAAGAGGTCTGCTGCAGCTTTAACCGAGTTGATTCAAAGCTGGTGTTAGACAATATAAATACTCTTTAGTACCTTGGTGCCCGGATCAAAGTTGGTTTGAGACTGTATAAATACCCATAAGTATCTCAGTGCCCAGATAAAAGTTACGATGATCTGGGTTCCGAAAATGAGAGGTGTGGATGGCAATGAAAACACCGATACGATCGTTAAAAGATGAACCGAATCTCAGTTCTTAACACCATAATTATGTAGTGCCTCGTCATGTGTTGCTTATATATTCTGTGGCCAAGTGTACCACATCTTGTTCATTTTGTCTTACTATGACACAAGCCAGTTCCTGTTTTAACTTTCATTCTGTTGCTTTGGCGTTTAATTGTGCAATCTAAATAGCACTTTAGAACGTTCCAGAGCGGCACAAATTTAACAATGCTCCTGCCAATGTGCCAATGTCTTAAAGGTTCAAGTAATTGGCTTCATTCATTTCATCAAATATTTAGTTGTAATTTTTGTCATATAATTCAGTGTTAATTTCGGGTGAACGTATTTTATGTTAGGACTGTTTGGTTCCCTTTTTGGTTTTCCTGGCATAACAAGCGGAAAAAAAGGTAGGGTAACTAAGATAATACCATGGAATTGCAAAGAGTAATACAGGGACTTATTTTATACTCGACACTTACGTACTGAAGAGATAGGTACTCCAGAGCTAACTCACCCAATTCTTCTATGAACGCCTCTGATCAGATTCATGAATTAAGTGGAAGTTCTATTTATACTTGAACAAATTTCAAAAATAAAATATAAGGTTCCAATATCTTTATGAAAAAAAGTATTCTTTCTTTTAGATTCGTAAACATTAAATAATCCAGAGAAAAATGTTTTTGACTTAAAAATTAAATCTGCTTAAAATACATACTATTTAAGATAAAAAACACATACCGTAATAAGTAACTCATATTTTTCTTTCAGTTTGATTTGTCTTGCAAGAACACGAAACAAAATCTGGGGGCCATGTTTACTCGTACTAATTACGTTACGCTCAAGTACGTGACGGATGCTTGGGGAACCGACTCCAATGGATTTAAACTAGTCATCACGGCTGTTAAAGATCCTAGTAAGTATAACACTCTTTCTTTCATGTAAGTATTAGACAGTTACATTTTTTTGACAAAAAATATTTTTTTTACATTAAATTTACAAACTTTTCATTTAATGCCAAAATGAGTAGTTGGTAATGAATAAGCTATGTCTAAAGTTCGTGAACTAATGTAGTAGCCTACTACGCGATAGCCAATAAAATCAGGCCCACGAATACGTCACAAGTGTACCTTTTTTAAATAGTATTGTATTTTTTTTTTTTAATTTGGTGTCATCGGCGTCGACTACTACGGCCATTAGCCTCGTGTTCTGTGTAGGCTTTGTTACTGTTTCCCAGCGCCACTTTAGGAACTGTTAATTAGAACCCAACAGTAAATGGTCGAGTGGGGAATCCTACCAAGGCATCATAATTAATTTTAAATAATTAAATTAAATGAAAAAATATTCCAAATTTAAGACCACAGATGATGCAGTTTTTAAGGACATCGTATTTTTCATGAGATATAGAGACTTTTCATTTATTTGGCATTCAATTAAAAAACACACAGATGAACACATTCAGCGTGATTCATTGGTAAATGCACATACTTCAGAAGTATATAGTGGATGATTGTAATAGCATATATTTAATAATTATCTGAATTGCCATTACCAAGATACAAGGTGATTAATCAATTTTGCTTATTTACTCAATTATTCATAACTTACGAATCACACTGAAGGGTTGCGGATTCTTGAAATTTAAAACTACCAATCTACGACTACATCACCCTGTATCTTCTATAGTCGTTGTTTATTGGCTTGTTCCTTTTGCGAGGAAAATATAGAAACAAAACACATTAGAATAAACATTGAAAACTATTAACTCGATGGATCATCTCAACTTTCCGTCGTTAAGAAACCTTTACAATTACTTTACATTAAACCTTTATAATACTTTTTACAAAAATTAAAACTAAGCGCGACTCTTCACAACTGAAAACCCATTTTAAGATACATTCTCGATAAGCAGAGGAATCAATCGCATTTACAGTGCAGATGTCACGTTCAGAGTAATAGCAATTTTTCAAGAATTTGTCCTGTCGGAATTTGAGATACAAAGCTAAAAGACCTTTTAAGTTGTGACATTATTTTGCAACCGAATTATTTACAACAAAATGATATATTACTCGAGAGTGGTTCAAAGAATTCGAACACATACTGTATAGTTTTTTATATTCACTACATATATTTTTTATCCAGTACGGTGCAGAATAACGTATAAATAGAAGTTGAAGTGAAATTCCGTACTTAATTAACAAAGATCCCGCAGTTTCCTTATGGCCTAATTTACAGTAAATATTTTCTAAATACGCACTAAGGATTTTTAAAACGCCAACCCTTAATTAAGGTGTGGTAAAGTATTTATACCTATAATGTTTTGGAAGAACGACTTTGAAATATTTTGTATACTACTCGAACGTAAGTAATACAAAAATACGTTTTGATTGATTTTAGGGTTGATTTTTCAAAAGAAAAATGTATATAATTATCAAAGGTCTGCCTGTAAACAAATACGAAACACACATAGAAACTGACGGAGTCTGTATGCAAAAACAGGAGATATTGTCTCGATATTTAGATATATTTATGTTGAAACTGAATAAATATTCGTATTCCAATAATAATATTGTTTCGCAATGTTGATCAATAAATCACAGGGTCAAACTTCAAAACTCTCTGGTGTAGATTACCTCTTCGTCTACATATAACAAAATCGCGGGAACAGCTAGTTATGAATAATTGAAGAAATGAACAAAATGGATAATGCACTGTATACATATTTTGGTTATATAGAATCAGAGACCCATTAAATATAGGTGATTTTGAACCACCTCGGTGCGAATTTACAAATAAATAATATATAATATAAATAAATCTTACTAAACATATTTTGTGTTTATCATATTTGTGTGTTATAATTTACGTAGATGGGTACTATGCCCCGCATAAAAACGTACAAATATTTTCGTCAGATACAACGCACGCTATCCATGAACCTGTCGGATTTTGTAGCGACTGTGTCAAACGCTTGTGTGAATATCGACTTGATCTCTACATTTTTCTGATTTTTCAAAAGGATGTATTATTTCGAGAATACGAGTGTACCGTCATCTCTCTAAATTTAAAAATCTGATGTGTCCAACATATGACTTTCCTATCTAGTTATTATAGGCTTTTTCCGGTTATTTTGTACAACCTTTTGCAGCATCTCTATAAATGTTTAGAGGATAAATTAAATATATACATTGTCCACATATATCTACCTCGAAACATTTTTCTATATTCATTGAAAACGAAAATACTGAAAAATTTAAATTTAGCACTTTTCCATTACGGTCCATTTTAGAAAAATACGAAAATACGAACCATTTCAGGAAATTTTTACATAAAAAAACAAAAATTATAGATAATAATATTAGAAGTAACTTTTATTTGAACAATTTTTTTTCTCCAAACATTAATAACAGATATATTCCATAAAATATAAAAGTGGCCTCCCATAAAGTACCCCCCCAGATGTTCCGACTATGTCCAAAATCTAATCATTTCACGTCAGGCCAAAATAAAACTTAAGTTTAAAATTTAATGTTTTTTTCTTTATCCGTTTTTGAGTTTTCTTCAAAATTCAAAATTTACACATTTTCTCAAATATCTCGAATACGGCCTATTTTAGAGAAATTATGTATAGAATAAAAATTATAGAAAATTATATTACAAACAACTTTTGTTTGAACAATTTTTATAAAAAAATATTTTTTTTACTTTTGTCAAATTTCTCGAATACGGACCATTTTAGGAAAATTTTGTATACAACAAAAATGTTAGATAATAATATAAGAAGTAACTTTTATTTAAACAATTTACTTTCTCAAACGCAAATAAAAGATATATTCTATAAAATATAAAAATGACCACCTATAAAGTACCCCCCCAGATGTTCCGACACTTCCCAAAATCTAATCAGCATATTGGACGCTGGAACAAAGCCTAAGTTTAAAATTTGGTGTTTTTCTGTGTATCGGTTCATGAGTTATGCGACACACAGACACACAGACACACACACACACACACACACACACACACACACACACACACACACACACACACACACACACACACACACACACGCACGCACGCACGCACGCACGCACGCACGCACGCACGCACGCACGCACGCACGCACGCACGCACGCACGCACGCACGCACGCACGCACGCACGCACGCACGCACGCACGCACTCACGCACGCACGCACGCACGCACGCACCCACACACACACACACACACACACACACACACACACACACACAGTCACACACACACACACACACACACACACAGTCACACACACACACACACACACAGTCACACACACACACACACACACACACACACACACACACACACACACACACACACACACACACACACACACACACACACACACACACACACACACACACACACACACACAGTCACACACAGTCACACACACACACACACACACACAGACATCATCGCGAAAATAGTTAAAACGGATTCAGGGGACCTCAAAACGTAAAAATCCATCGAAAACTCGAGGTCAAAAAAATCATGATTCCTATACTTTCCTTATATCTGTATGCAGATAGGAAAGTAAAAAAAAAATGTGCAAGTTTCATATTATTGCGATATATGATCCAGAACAATTATAAAAATATAAAAATAAAAGAGGAAGTTATTGAATAACAGAACTTTTTCAATACAGAAGCGAGAATAGTAGCGAAAATCTAATAAAAACTTTAACAATTCATAAGACAACGGGTCAATTTCAAAATTTCCTACAGATGTCACAAATTAATTTTGAAAAACTCCTCATGTTGAGCGTTTGACGACAGGAGATTCGTATGTGTGTTTGCAATATCTGTTTCGAATCTCAACTTTTTGTCGAAAAATATCGTAAAAAAATAATTTTTTTTCCGCAAATATTTTTTTTTAATTTAAAATACAGCGCACAACACACAATTGTATTAATGTGGATGCACCTTTATAAGAAAAATTAAAAACACATTTTAAAATAACCTAAAGCCGGGTCCAGATCAATAAATATTTACGTTGTGCGTTGTATTTGACGCAAATTTGCTCGTGTTCGTCAAAATATTTCTAGATGTGGACTGTGCGCCGCACAAAAAAACACGCAAATATTTGCGCCAGATACAACACACGCTATCCACCGGTCTGTCGGTTTTTCTTCCAACTTCAAAGAGATTTGCATAGAACGACCCTCGAGTGCTTGTTTTAATGTGGACTTGAATACTTTTTTAGTTTGTACTATTATTTCAATCGCAAATTATTGCTATGCACGACGCACAAAAATGGATCGCGATAGATACACCAACACAACGCACATATTTGCGCGACAAAATCATAATTAAAAAAATATTTGCTTTGTGTTAACTTTCACCCAAATTCTGTATTTTTCGTCTCCGTCGTAACCTATGAGATATCTGTTCAAAGCTTTCATAGCCATTTTCTTTCTTCTTTGGTTTGAAGTGTATGCGTAACAGGTAGAACCTATTATTCGTAAATGCCTTATTCTTGGCTTCTTACCCAACCAAAGTGCATATAAAGTTTTATCCTCTACTGATGACTTAGAAGTTCTATTGAGGACGTAGATGTCCGAGCTAACTAGTTCTGCTCAGGAAATGCTACCTCTGAATTTAAGTACTTGAAAGTTCTAGACATGTCTATAACAGTATAGTTTTCTGCTCAGGGGTGTAGGGTGCTGTTAATTTTTAAATTATTCCATGTGTAGAAAGAACTTCTTTCAAATCTTTATTGTCAAACTCTCCTCCCTTATCAGTTAATATTTCTTGTATGTGGTGACTATATGCTTCTGCATCTTTAATTAGATTTTCCAAGCACTTCGTCACTTCTGTTTTTTTTTCCTTATAATGTAACCACAACGAAATTTTTTAAAGCTGTATTTAGATAAAACTATATATTCCTTTTTCTGAAAAGATTCTTCAAGTGGTCCACAAACATCTCCGGTTATTAACTGATCTGGTTTACTGGCTTTTATTCTAGTACCACCAAATGAAAGACGATGCAGTTTTCCATATTATACACGGGCTCACAAAGTTCATTGTTTAGCTTAACTTTAAACCCCAGTTCTTTTTCAAGTAAATTTTTTACGTATCGTTTATCTTAATGCCCCTACCTCTCATGAAAAAATTGTAAAAGTGAGACTATTGCATTTACTTCTGATGTAATTGGCTTTAAATCTGCTTTGTAGAGTCCGCCATTTACATCTCTATATCCACATAATATTTCTTTATTGTTAAAGAACACTTTGTCGCTCTAGTCCTAAACTCACACTTTTTGTTATCTTGGGCTGATATAACGGATATTAAATTTTTCGTTATATTAGGAACGTACCATACATCTTTTAGTAAAGCTAAAAATCTTATAGTTAGTCATATAGCTGTTTTCTATACTAGGTAAGTGAAATTGTTCGTAAGTACTAGAATAATCATAACAATTTGTTAAATGCCTAGTTGAACAGTTATCTATCCACTAATATGTATCCATTAATATAAATTATCCTTACAATTTACTTAAAAACAACCGTGTTGATTAATAGCATAATAAATAATTTAGCAGAGTGATCAATCGCAGAATCTGACTATTTTGATCCGCTTGAAGAAAAAGTATTTATTTTCTCTTACATTTGCACTAGAATTTGGCGGAGGTATTTTGTTACGTTCGCCAAATATTAGAATTACTATTTTTACTAACAATAAGTTCCTCGTATGAATAACTAGATTATAATTAGATATTAGTTACAATAAGACAAAAAAGAATTAGTATTAGATCAGCTATTTATAGTCATGCAAATTAATTTTTAAAGTAAATCAGATTTGTCAATCTAATAATTTATTCCACACATAAAAATAACACAAGTTCGATTCTTCTCGTTTCGGAGCTACAAATTGAAAAAAATTAAATGTTATTTCCCAAAGTCTAAAAAATAACGATAAAGATTGATTTGAGATTCGGGGAATTAGAAATATCCAACCAGGGGCATATTCTGATAAATTTTCTAGATTATGGAAAAAATATTTTATTTTCAAATTTTGACACCCTATGGCTCCAGAACGAAGGAATAGCGTACCTATGTTCATATGAAAAAAAAAAAGTATTACTTTTATGTGATGAATTTATTTCGAACGTTGTGCCATATTTTTAAGCTCCCTGGTAAGTCTGCAGCTTCCTATTTATCCCACCTTTTCTTGAATTTTACAAGGGAATGTTCTTTAATTAGGTTTGTCACTACCGATTTTGTCAGTCCTATAGAGGGACCAGGACCAAAACGTATTTGTTTGGCTGCCTTCTTGGCAAGTGAATAAGCTAGACGATTACCTTTTGATGGCGTGACCTTTGATCCATCTTAAGTTGACCACATTGTTAATGGCTACTTCGGCTAAAGCTTCGTGACATTCTATTAATAACCCTAAATAAATCCGTGGTCTGTCCAGGGTGAGTTTATCTGCTATCTGTATAGAAAAGTATGTTTCTTACAGTGATAGTATTGCTGATGCTAAAGTAATATCTGTTAGTGTTTGACTGCGAAAGTTTAAAAATGTTGGTGTAGTACCTTTATTTAAAATACAAAGATTTTTGGTAATTATATAATCACAATAAATGTGATTTGCCTCTAGCTAGCATTGTTATCCTTATTGCTCCAACTGAAGTGGTGAGCATTTGAGTAGCAACCTATTATCAGCTCAAACTTATTGTTCAGGAAGTATTCAATCAGATCCTTCAACTCTTTGCTGGGTGGTGGTGTGGATGCGTCGCAAGGGAGGTATGCAAATGGCAGGATCAACGTTTTACCTCTTGATGGCATATTTCATCCTAACCACAATTAAATTGGAAGTGGAAAGGTGTACCACTGAGTGGGCTTTATATTTTCTAGGAGTGTAAATGGCTGTTCTTGGTTGTTGGTTACTGGAAAAGCTAAAAATTGAACCATATAGATTGTTTAGACCTTTTGTTTTTATTATCTAGGGTTCCTGGATGAGTGCTATTATAATCTTGCAGCTCATCAAGGCGTCATCAAGGCGGCGGCATAATGTTGCCGTAGCTGAAAGTTACATTGAATAATTTTTTCCTCTTTAAGTGCTTCCTGATTCCCCATTGAAGTTTGGGAAGCGTTTGAGTTTAGTGTTTGATCATTCTTTTCTCCAAAAGGGGGAGTTATAACCGATCGCGATTTGCGTCGTGCTCCTGATCTCTTGTAGATGCAAAACTAGCGTCACTACCAAAAGACTTGATTGAACTGCTTAGGTTGGATTTGGAATGAGAGCGTATCCTGCCGGTGGCTGTTGCCCCAGCTCTACTTGCCTGCAGTGTAGCCTTCTTTCTTATCTTTGCTTCAGAACCAGAGATCCATTTGCCTGTTTGTTGCCCGTTGGATTGAGTGAACTGCGATTACCATCTTCGTATTTTGGAGGTGGATATCGCTATCTAGCCACCTGTGCTAGAGTTGAACTATGCTGTCCAGCCTTCTTTGCTGGAGGTGAACGTTGACGTCCAGCCTTCTTTGCTTGAGGTGAACGTTGACGTGCAGCTTCCTTTGCTGAACGTAAACGTCGACGTCCAGCCTCCTTGGATTTTTGTGGGTTTGGATCCATATGGTTTCCACAAGTAGCTAGAGAAAGAAGGGTCGACCGACGCAGAGTCCCGTTTGCGCTGGCAAGGTTAGATACAAGAGGGTGTCGCCAGGTACCCTCAAAGAAACGTTGGCTGCCGCATTTGCCCCTGCGACAATTCATCCGTCAACACGTTGCCTAACACCTTAAATTGGGGGAGTTGGTTCGCGACGGTAGCCTCTGCAAATTATTTTGAGCGTTTTTAGGCTCTCTCACTCTACTTATGTCTACCACTAAGCAGGAAAATCCTGACCGTTCTCCTATCCACCACCCGGAGACGCGCTCAGTTGCATTAGTTTATTGACAAATAGAACAATTTTAATTATATTTGATGTTTTGGGGTGAGGCCATGTTTACTAAGAGGTATTGACTAAAAATTATAGAGACATTTTACATAATTAATAAACATTATCCAAAGATAATTGATTTTTCAGTTACGATTGTACGATTATGAGTAGAGGCTCTCCTAATTGTAATAAAATGTTCTAGTTGCATAATGTAGTTGAAAAGATACATACCTACCAAATTTGCAATTAATAATTCTTTAATTATTTATAGTATAAGGCAGTAGCGGCTTGTTACCAAAATATTGGGGTTCATAATAATAATTCATTACCCAATAGTGGTTAGAAAACATATTAATGAGACATTTTCTTAACAATGGATTGGCAAAGAAATTTACTTTAAATGGCCACCAAGAAGTCCGAATTACAACCCACTGATTTATATTTTTGGGGACATATATGAAGTCCTTAGCTTCTTCCAATGAAATTCTTTCATGAAATAAACCATGGACAAACTACAACATGCGGCTAATTTTATTAAAAGATGAAATAAAATTTGTTTTTCGATGTCAGAAAGTCCCTTTATCAAAAGAATTAAAATAAGCATACAAGTAGAAGTCCACAGGGACTATTTACTTTCAGTTTATTATTTTTATTAATATTTTGTTTGTCTAATGTTTCACATTTGTTTTTCCATTAAAATTACAAAAAATTTCGTCAAGAAAAGGTGTAACCCAATTTCATCATCAGAAATCACTCATGTGGTGCCACAAAATAAAAAGTAATAAAATATTATTTTGTGCCAATGTTTAAAACGAATTATGAATATGTTGTAATATTATTATTGAAAAACGAAAAAAATATATTTTTCCACTGGAAATTTTACTGAGGCATATTTAGTCCATTCCTTATATTTTGATCTGAATAACCTGCATCTACTCTATGTCCTCATTATTATAACTTACCTTGTTAAAGTTGTTACATCAAAAATAGTTTGTCGCTTCATGAAAATTTCAATACATTTATTCCAACAAGCTTTATTTATTGATTAGTTAATGTAGGTGCATAGATAAAACCATAGGTATTTAACGATCTTTCTTTTATTTCAGAGCATGCTTGCACAGAATATAGATGCAACTTACGCGAGTTTTGTATAGCCACCGAACTTGTATGTGATGGAATCAATCATTGTGCTGATGGTTCAGATGAAACGTCCACTAATTTATGTCAAAGTAAGTACCTCCTATACTACGTTATATTAAGTTAGTACTTAGATTTGTGACCATTTTGAGGAAACGCCGTGTACCTATTAGACCACAAACTGGAAAGCGCTATATTAATGAGCATAAGGTATATCGTAAAGTTAACAGCAACGGCGAAAAACTACTAAACTAATCTAATAATTCATAATTATGCCCTTATTTATTGCAAGTATTTAGATTGTATTTTTCGTTAGATAGACGCATCGGCTGTCGTATTAAAAAGAGTAAGATGACTGCTAAATTGAGGGAGGTTTGTTTATCTATAATTCATGCTTTACATTATTACCACACTGTAAAAAATATTGTTCTTTCCTGCAAATCACTTTCAGCAACCAGAAAAGACATACAACAAATAATAACTGACACCAAGAATGCAAATATACTTTTTTTAATGGATCATTTAAAGGTTTTCGTGCGTTGAGCCTTATGTTAAGTCAATTCCGAATTATAAACAATCCTTGCCACAAGACTGTCCCGTAACTCTTCCATAATAATTTGGCATGGATAGCTTGCAATTTAGTTTTTGTAAACAAAATTAGTCTAGTAGTTGTTCGTCGTTAATAGTGTACAAAAAAAAACCTTCACACTATAATGTAGATATGACGGTCGCTAGCTCTTAGTCTATTAAGATCCAAAACGCATCTTTTATTTAACAATATTTTTAAATATTTTGAAAATTTGGAAACAAATATCGGGAGCCAAACCCAGACCTATACGTTTTCCGGACGTGTGTCCTTACCGTAAAGCTATCAACGACATTGACTGTCGATATTCCTGAACGGAAATTTTTGTGTTAGTTCTAGCTCATTCTTTGTTTGCGTGACAATATTTGTACATCTACGTGTCAAAAATTCATCGTCATTTTAAGTTTCAATTTTAAATCTTTCCTTAAGGGAGGGTTCTTGTAGAAACTGTAGAGCATTGTCAGTCACTCTTTTATGAAAAAACAAAGCGTTTCAAAAAATAAAGAGATGGAGGCTCAAATTTTATTTAAACAAATTGTTTCAGTCATTAAATTATATATTATTAAAAGTCTCTTACAAAGCCTAGACGTGCATAATACTCTAGAGAGTCTAGAATATTATTGACGTTCAAACTTTTTCCACAAAATCCCATAAAATATTCAAACTTGTTTTTTATTTTATAGATAACGAGACAGGCACTATTTTGGGCTTAGAAGTGACGTGGTTTGTAGTCGTCGTTGTTAGCAGCTTATTGGTCCTTTTGGTCCTGATTGTCGCCGTCTCTGTCTGCATCTGTAGGATGGGATGGCCCAATACATCATCTGGGAACGGGACCGTGCAGCAACAAAATGCTTCGTATTCTCGTAAGTTCATTTTCTATTTTAATTATTGAACCAGATATTTTTTTACGTATTTATTAAATGACATATTTAAATGAAGATTTTTCTGGTACATTCCTTTAATTAGACATAAAATAAAATAAAGTTTTAGTGTCTATTACAAACCTATGCCTAGGAAAAGCGTAAAGCAAATAATTGTTCTAATTTATTTTAAATCATTATACTGTTATCGACAAAAGAATGGAACAAATTTATTAAACATTTTTTTCGCAGAGTTGTTCTTAAAATTCCCCGTTTGAAGAATGACCAGGTCACCTGCGTACGCTATTTTGTAGTGACCGTCATTATTGATGCGGCTGATGAGGGTATTTTCACAACTTTTATACTTAAAACAAAATGGATAGACGATATTGTAAATATATCAGATAAGCTGAATTGAGAAACGAATCTAAAATGATATTCTAAGGCAGTTGATGTTTCTCTATAACAAGTTTAATAATAATAATACTGTAACATTTATTTATAATCTACTAGGCACGTGTCAAATTTGTAATAGTTCGTGTATTTGACAAGATCTTGGTAGATATTTGAAAAACAACCTCTTTTTTTAATTTTTAGTAAATTTTAAATTTTGATTTTAAACTTCTATTACCCTGTATCTCCGCAACTAAGCACTTTAAGGGTTAATATCCCTATATTAAAATTCATTAATTAACGAGAACTCTCTGTCGGTCTGTGGGTCGAATAAACTACATAATATAGGAATATTGAAAATCAACATCTACTCAACATGGTTTTCTAACAAATTGCTTTGTTCTATCTTATTTTTCAAAAACTTTTGATAGTCGTAATCACCACCTTTTGCTTAAGAAACTAAGATGTTTTGACCTCTAAGTCTATCCCTATTCTTATTCTTTCATGCATATTTAGAACAACGAAAAATCTATGTTTAATATAAATGTGTTGTCGATTACATAAATGTGGATAACCTCAAGGATCCGTTTTGGAACATTTGTTCTTTAATCTACTTAATAATGACATACCTAAGTCAAAAATTACAGTGTAGAACACTTCTCTGTGTTAATGACGTATGGCTTTACAGGGAAATTAAAACTGAAAATTATGGTATTGGTTTGGAATTTGTATCTAACTGGTGCATTTGTAACAACCACCGTCACTTAGAAAGTAACTGCTGTCACTAAATAACAATGTAGTGACCAAAAGGACTCTAGTCATCAACGGGGGGTACACTGTAAGTTTAAAGGCAGCGACTGTCACCAGTCACAGTCAGGAGATAAGGTCCTTAGAGCTAAATTTAAAATTGGTTGGTTGATATTTATTATGTAATTACTAAATTGCCGAGATAAGCTTTATCGGCGTCGGTGAGTAGTCGGGCAGCGTAACGCCCGGCCCACTCAGTCACTGTCTCTTCCCCCTCGTTCCCAAATCATTTAAATATTAGTTGAGACGTGCTTTCTTTGAAATTTTTGATCAAGTCATATATTTAATTTACTTTGATATTATAATAACTGTTATTACTATTTCTAGGTCAAATGAAGGAAAGTACTTAAAAATTTATATGATATTTTTATGTAAAATCTTTAGATTAATTAAAATAATTGCCAAATTATTACTCATCGGTAATTTTTTAAACCTAAATATAAATAAGTGTTCCATTCTGTCTATTTCTCTAAAAGACCATTCTTACTATTTCGACTACAAAATTAATTATATTTATATATCGTTTTAGAATAATATATAAATGATATATTCCTCCCACTCTGTAAATGGAAAAACAATACATTACTTTTCAATCCTAGAATTCAAAAAAATCGATTTTTCTCAGTTCCAAATATTTTATATCCCGTCTACGCTTTCGTAGATTCTATTAATTGGTAATTTCATTATTTTATATTAAGAATTGTAAAAAACAATGACAAATTAACTCAATCAGGCATTTTCCTGAATTACAATAAAAACAAACAACCCCTAAATATAAATCTTTTTGATTGAAAATTGAAAATCAATGGTATGCCGTTTCATTCGAAAAGGAACAAAATATAAAGTGAAAACAAGTAAAAGAATTTTCCATTTCCCGAACTAGCATCGCTACGCCCAACGTCGCGCTTCGCTTCGGTCTCTTTCACAAATGGACTCGGAAACAGGAAAAATTAGTTTGAATTGCTAATAGAAACTGTAGAATGACAGACAAACAGCTATTTTACGTTTCCGTTTGAAAGAGATAATTAATTTATTTACGTTATTTAATTGATGTACAGAAACACGTTTAATTTAAAATAAGATATATTTTGTCAATGTGGCTGCTGAGTGATTTTAATACAAAGATGTACAGAAATATAAATGGGAATAGTTCTAGAAATAGTTACTAGACAGATATATGTTGCTATTTGGTGCTTTTCTAAACAAAATTACTAAAGTTATTCTACAATATTTGTATGCAATATTAAGAGAAACAAAAAAAGGACCCATCAACCACATTTAGAGTTTTAAAAACAATGACAGCTTTGACACAGCTCATAATACAAAAGACGCTTAACCGACGAAATCTCGTCGAGTTCGTGCATAACCCAATGTGATGCAAACAATTTAAATGGTCCATTTAAACGTGTAAAAAAAGGACAATATAATATTATTTAAATCGAATTGTTATAACTATGAAAAAAAGATGAATATTTGTAATAATATTCAAATTCTAATTCAAATTACGAAAAAAATAAAAGTTTTTTATTTATGACTTAAGATCATAGGATGCTTGCAGGACAGGCTAAAACAAATTCATTCAAACTAGTATTCGCCAAGTGGTCAAAATTCAAAAATAATATTAATAGAAAGTTTGAGGAAAACATAATATATGCATTTGCATGTTTTTAACATTTTTTTTATTCCTATACATTCGTTTATTGTACATCTGAGACCATAAAGTTTTATATGTACTTACGATACAACCAGGGTTAGTTTCTCTATGGAGTTCATTTGTGCAATGAACACCCAGTTATATTTCATAAAAACACATTATTTTAAAATAAATAACAAAAATATATATTATTCAATTTTAATAATTTTATTGTTTTCATACGTGTTAATCTCTATTTCTGAGTACTCTACTGCGCTCTGGCTAATCGCTTCTTCTTGGCGCACTTTTATAAGTGAGCATGAGGAAGCGATAAGTTTTCGCGAAAATCTTTAACTAAAAAGAGAGATCCACACGTCAAAAGATCCGTAAAAGTAGGAAACAAACAACATGCCTGCATAAAATCACTTAAATCACCTTAAATTGCGCAACGTACATAGTGACGTCACAAAGTAGGGCGGGGCATACGAACTTTTCAATCACTGATATAACTTAAAGAAAAGATTTTATGACGATACTTAAAGTGTCCGCTAGTCAGTTTTGGTGAAAATGCCATTTTTTTAAATAGCGTGACTTAAATGATATAAAAACATTTCCATTTAGTCAATCTTCAAATATAAGATTATTAACTTTAAATTAATAAAAATACGACACAAAGTGAGTTCACTTGTTATTTCGCAAAATAGTGATTATGTCGGTCGTCTCAACTTCAATATATCTGATTCTATATCTATATTTCCAATCAAACTACATTTTTATGGCTAGATTTAAAAATTTCCATAAGACAATTTTAATTGTGTTTAAATAAAACTGCGACTATAATAAATCTGAAGAATGTGTGTCAATTCAATGATTGTTCTCCAAGGTAAAACCTTTGCTATTAGTACATTTGTTGCCTTTGTTAATTTCATTAGAGACTAATAAGGACGAAACCGGTCCAAGATTGATGTTTTTCTCAATGAGCAAAATCAAAGGTAAAGTGTTAAAATTTAATTTCTATCTCTGCTGTCTTCCTTTGGATGTAATTCAATACCTGTTAAGATATTAGCCAAGGGAGTAGTTGTTTTCTGAAGGGAAACGGTTGCACCTATTTTTTGACATATGGCTTCGTGATTTATTTATTTACGGCAGAGATACAGATAGAGAATACTCAAAAGCACAGTCATCTATTTTAAAACAAATGTCATTATTCCGTTATTTCATTATTCTTATCTTTTAGGCGTGTATCGTTAACGTCGATAAGTTATTTGGAATTGCCTTATTGATAGAGGGTTGTGAAATTTAAAAAAGTCAGAAAATATTATTTTGATGTTATTAAAGTTGAAGATTTTATATCGTAGAGATAAAATAAAAAAAAAAGAGTAAGAAAGAAAGATGCCAAAAGGACATTAGTTATTATCTCCGCTATTATTTGTCCGATTTGACAGGGAAAAACATAGGAGTGAAGAAAATTACATCTAAAATAACATCAGAGAGACAAATCTTGCACAGTGCCAATGCCAAAATGGCATTAACGTATATCTTTATTGTTATTCGTCCCATTTGCATAGAACAAACGGCACTGTATAGGAGATGCATCACAGATCAACGTTGAGAAAAAATTCATGCGTTATGGTAATGTAAAAAGGACATTAACGTATATCTCGACTATAATTGGCCGAATCGAATGGAAAAAACGGGAGAGTTGTGGAAGGAAAATTACATGTAGAAAAACATATTATTAGTCTGAATAGAATGGGAAAAACAAGTGAAGTAAATTAAATATTAAATTAACCTTGAAGTCAAAAATCATGTACAGCGACAAAGTCAAAAGCGCAATAACTTATATCTCTATTGTTGATGGTCCGATGTGAATGAAGCAAACCGTACTATGAAAGAGACGTGGCATAGATTAACATTAAAAAAAATAATTATGTACAGCGTCAAAGCTAAAAGGCCTCCAGTCTTTATCTCCACTATTAGTTTCAAAACTGACAGGTGGTGACTTTTGGAAGTAGTGTGCTTATACGAACGTTGCTCATCTACTCATAGGACTACTGCTGTTTCAATATATCTAAATTATATTGAATTTAGGCTAAAGACACACACGGCTGTTTTCGCCGACTCGGCCGCCGACTCGGCCGCCGACTCGGCCGCCGACTCGGCCGCCGAC